GGTGTGCCTGCCTCCCCTACTGCAGTGAGGAGGACTGAGGCTGGGCACCTGGTCTGTCTCCCTCTCTGCTTGTTTGTGCAGGGTCTCTGCTAAACCCCAACTTGGTTTGTTTATAAGTCTCCACCATGTGGAGAGAGTCTGTGTCCAGGTTGGAAGGAGGTCAGGGTTGGGGTTTGTTTAGGTGGCCTGTGGCCACTGGTGTGAATCAAGGTGCTGGGTAGGTTCCAACAGGCTCCAGGCTGGTGAGCCATAGGGTTTGGCGACAGCTTAGAAAAGGGGTGTCCAGCCTATTTTAGAGACCCAGAGAGGACCAGAGATTTGTCCACAGTGTTGGGATGAGTTAGAGACATACCAAGGACTAGGAGGTGGGTTTGCAGACTCTCCAGCATCCTTTGTGAACCCCCCCATCCTGTCATGCCTGGGTCATGGTGGTTGTTTGCCCACTCCCTCCCCCCAACAAAGGAAGGGAGCAGGCGGAAGAGCAGGGAGATTACCACAGGCTTGGAATCCCAGGTCAAAAGCAAGCCCTCCTTTGAGGCCTGGAGGCAGGGGCAGCTAGTTGAGGTGCTAGAAGGAGAAAGTGCAGTGAATTGTGGTCCCTCAGAATTCAGTCTCCTGCCTCAGCCTCATCCCCAGGGCCACCATAGCTATAGGAGGCGCCATTCCATGGCCTATGATGTGAGTGCCCCCCGCCGCCCACGTTGTTCAGGGCCTTGCCTATGTAGCCAAGTGTGGTGCTTTGGCCCTCCACCTTCTTTCTTTGAATCAGCTTCAGATCCAGCTGGAAGGAGGTATTCCAGAGGGGCCTTAATCCAACACCCTCTCCCCCACCCGGCCTCCTGCCACTCAACATCGCCTATTCCTCTGCCGCCCGCTCCCTGCCCCCCAAGCTGGTCTCCGTGGGCCAGAAATTGTGGCACAGGAGCCCCTCCCCCTCTCTCCACTCAGTTTCTGTCTCTGGGGGGCTGATTTATCATGCGCCCCTCCATCAGGCCTGCTGCAGTGTGAGAAATCAATAGTGCAAATGGATTGAGGTTGCTCAGCCTGTCGACTCCCCTTGGGCCCCACCAACTCTCTTGGGACTTGGGGAGCTACTCTTCTGTCCCCTTCCGGCTCAACATACACAGAGATATACACACCTCGTGGTTGTAGCCAGAGCGCTGAGCACAGGAATTATTCTTCCTGTCCACTTCTGTCTCGGCCTCTCTCATTCTCTCTCTTTCTCTCTTATACTGGGCTGGTCTTAGCATGACAAATTCTCTTCAACATTTCTTTTCTAGCTTGGGTGGAATGGGGGCGGAGGGGCTTAAAGGGCAGTAGGCTGCCAGCCAAAGGTGGGAGGGAAGCAGGTGGGTGAGGGAGACAGTGCTGGGGAAGGGATTGGGTGACAGCCCACCCCATCATCAGCCTCTGGTAACTCAATCCATGCACTCCACCCTCCCTATCCCCCTCCTGCTCAACAACTTCAGCAGCTGCTGGCAGAAGCAGGGCTGGCAGAAGCGTGTATGAGTGCATGTGTGTATGTGGTGGGGTGGGAGGGTGAGAGGGGCTGTGGGGGCAGGAGGTGCTGCCAGGACATGTTAAAGGAGACTCACAGCCTGGGTACAACTTGGGTGGCAGGAGGAGGTAGGGCTGGTGGGAGAGTGAGTGGTGAGTGATGGGCAAGGGGCAGGCTGCAGGGAGGGCAGAACTGTCCAGGGGTCCCAAAAAACTTGTCTGCACTGGAGCAGGGCCTGGTGTGGTGGGGTTGGGCATGGTGAGGGGGCAGGGGCAGGTACAGCCATGTCTTACTCCAGGGGGCCTGTACTTCACCAGGGGGCGCATGTAACCATGAAGGACACGGCCTGCCCCTGTCCCCAATCCCCCGGCTGTGCCTGCTGGGCATCACAGTCTTGGTGACTAAGTCACTTCTGTCCTGGGGCTGGCTAGGTGCCAGGCTCAGCTCTTCTCGGTAGGTGAGTCACTGCCCTGGCATCTCCCCCGGATACAGCTGAGTCACCCGGCTGTGCCTGCTGGGCAGGTGGGCACCATGCTTGGGTGGGGTTCAGGGGCCGTGTGTAGCCCCAGTGTCTTCTCTAATTTCTCTCTACCATATCCTGGCCCCACCCATAGACCTGCACAGCCACACAAGGATGATGTTTCTCGGATGTGCTCTGTTGAGGGGGTAAAGGAAGAGGTGGCAGGATACAGTGTGGAAATCTGTTTGATTTAGAGTAAAGAGGGGGAGTTAAGGACAGAACTGTGGGTTTGAATCTTAACTCTGCCATTGATAAACCGGATGACCTTGGGCAAGACAGTTTCTTTTTTGAGTCTCAGTTTCCTCATCTATACAATGAAAACAAGAGCCCTGCCCCAGATTACCCTTCTGAATTGTGAGACTCAAATGAGGTGGGGTCATTAGGGTGCTTGTGGGAGGAGCTCCTTAGGGGATGAGTGGAGAGGAGAGGAGGAGCCAGTTGAAGCTGGTTCCTGTTCCAGCAGACATCTCCCATCCCACCAACATCCAGATGGTGCTGGAGGGGCAGTGCTGCCCAGCCTCTGTTAGATGACCAATGATGGGATTCCCTAGGAATTTCCCAGAGGCTGTGAGAGGGAGGCCTTGTTTTGCTAGAAGGGTGGGCCCTCCTGGGGTGTCTCAGAGCTATTTTCTATCTCCTTTGACTGCTGGGGACTGTCACTGTCATTTCACCTATCTGGGCTCTCAGGTTTCCTCTAGTTTGGAGCCTGATCCCTGTCTTGGGAAACAAGTGGCTCAGGCTCCTCCCCCAGCCCTTTTTCTGTGTGCAGGAGGGGAAGGGTAGGCTCCAAGAAGGAGTATCTTTCCTAAAGAGTGAGGAGCCCCCTGGGCCTGGGGCTTTTCCCCCTCTGCTAGTCTTCTGCTGGCTCCTGTACTCTTCTCCCCTCCTGTATGAGGGTCCTTGGAGGGTGGGGTGGGAGGGTAGAAGCCTTATGATGGCCCCAGCACAGCTGGAGTGCAGCTGCTGCTATAGATTGGGCTCTTGGCCTCCCATCTGGGACCTTTCCTGCCTCGAGGAGCAGCGGTTCTCAACCTGTGGGTCGCGACCCCTTTGGGAGTCGAACGACCCTTTCACAGGGGTCGCCTAAGACCATCGGAAAACAAAAAGATACTTACATTACGATTCGTAACAGTAGCAATATTACAGTTATAGAGTAGCAATGAAAATAATTTGATGGTTGGGGGTCACCACAACATGAGGAACTGTATTAAGGGGTCGCGCGGCATTAGGAAGGTTGAGAACCGCTGTCCTGGAGTCAAGCGTGGGGAGGGCTATACTGGGCAAACAGTATTGGGTGCCTGGGCAGGGAGGCAGTGCCCCAAAGGTGTGCAGGCTGTGTGCTTGTTCACACAGGTACCAATCTTGTGGGCATGAGAGTGTCTGACCCCCTGTGGAGAGCAGGTTTGTGGGTGCGTGAATTTCCCCCTCATCTGTACATGGCCTACTGCTGTGTCTGTTCAGGAGTGTGCCCCACCCTGGGGTTCATGCCCTTGTTTGTGCTTGTTCTGTGTGCTCATGGATGTGCATACGTGTGTGCTCTGAGTGTGCACATGGGGGTGTAGGCATATGTACTCTGAATGTGCTTGTGGTATGCAGATATGGACGTCCTGGGTGTACATTCATACACCTGACTCTTGGTGTGCATTAGTGTACCTGACCTCATGTGCTGGCAGGTGTATGTGAAGGCCACCCTTGGTGGGAGGCAGTGTACCTGTGTTTATGCACACTTGCATTTTTTGTGTCTACGATCCTTCCCTTCTGACCTCAGTTGGAAGGAAGACTGGTAGAATCTAAGCCAGGGGGAGCCTGTGCAGGCTGGGGGTGGCTGGCTCTGAGTCCCCTCCCATGCTGGTCCCTGCCCCCAACTCCCCGGGCGGTGGCACCCCCTGCTACTGGCTGGGCTCAGGCAGGAAGGCCTGGGGGGCTGGGGGGGAAGGGGTTAAGCTTCCGCGTCCACATCTGGGAGCCATTGGCGCATTCCTGCCGGCTGAGCGCATGTTTGCGGATAGATCTGGACGGGACAGGGCGGGAGGGGCTGGGCGGGTGGTTCGCACCGGCGGACGAAAATCCAGACGCGAGAGGGAGACAGCCGGGCCCAGCGGGCGGGAAGGGGCCTGCGGAAGCGCTGTTGGCACCTTTACCCTGCGCCGGACCTCAGGGCAGAGCGTCCCACAGATCTGGCTTGTCCTACCTTACCAAGGCTGGAGACTAAAGCTGGAGAGAGACAATCGGATACCTCAGTTCTAGACCAGTGCGACAGTGGACAAAACCCGGTGTCCGCTCCCGGCCTCCGGTTCCTTGTCTGTAGAGCGGGAGCCTCTGACCAGTGGGTTTGAGAGCTCTGCCAGCCGGGTCAGGCTGAGTCCCTTTACTGGGCTGGAGGCCTGGGAGTGTGGCACTTCCCCTTCCAGTGGGAAGTCCAGTGGGGGCACTTGTGGCCACTTCTCTGACTGGGAAGCGGGGGAGGGTGTTCCTTAGTGATTCCGTTTTCTGCCCATCCCCCAGTGGACTGCTAGAGGTGGGGACATGACCCTCCCAAACGGAGCAGCAGGCTGGGAGGGGGCACGTGGCAGTGTTGGGGACTGGGGTCTCTGCAGATGGAGAGTGATTCAGATCTTGCCCCGCTTTCCTGGCTCCTCCAGCCTGGGCCAGGAGAGAGCATCTTGAGTCTCAGAGTCCTCTAGCATGGAGGGGTGCTCCTGGATGTTCCCCTATTTACCCCTTGAAAGATTCAAGAGCTGCTACCCTTTTGGGGGAAGGCTACTAAGGGGTGGGCTGCTGAGGGGTTGGGTTGGGCCAGAGTTCCTCCAACCCACTCGAGCTGGAGAGATGTTTGGGGGAAAAGGAGAGGAGTGTGCCGGAGGAAGGTCTACCTGCTCTTGCACTTATTTTGCAGATGAGAAAATTAAGATTCAGATAAAGAAAGCTACTTGTTTAAGGTCACACAGCTCTCAGCTCCAACTGGTTGGTCCCTGGAGGAGGATTTAATTATGGGAGTCAAGGGCTTGACAGCTAGGGCCGGAGACACTGAATTCACTTCCATATTACGTTGCCACCTCTCTTTCCAGGTTTAGGTGTGGGTGGGTGTATTTGGGGGAAGGGAGTGTGATATCACACCAGTGCAGCCCTTTGTCCACCGAGTCCTCTTTCATTCTTTCTGCAGAACTTCAGCTCCTCCTCGCTCTACAGCTCTCCTTTTGGGGCAGAGGGAGGGATTCTCTTAGATTCCCACGGTCCAGCCTTCTGCCAGGCGCGGCTCCTTTAAAACTCGCCCTGCCCCGGGTCTATTAAGGGAGGGCGTGATCCTATGGGCCCGCCTCTGGCTTGTGATTGGCCGGTGAGTGGATGGGGGCGGACCTGAGGGAGAGGGCCTCCCACCCTGCTCTGTACCCTCCGCCCCCCCAAGTCTGGGGCTCCGGGTAAAGTTTCAGCCTCCGCACGTGACTCGCCATGGCCGCTGCCTTCGCCCCGCGCCCCTGAGCCGCGGCCCCCGGACGGCTTCTCTCCCGGGATCCCGCACCCCTGACGCTGAGCAACACCAAAGCGCAGAGTCAGGGCAGACGCTGTGCCTGTGGGCGCCGGGATGGATTGCGTCCCCCCACTGTGAGGTAACCTCTCCCCCGGGGATTTTGGAGAGCCCCGGGCTCTCACAGGCAACGGGGCTCCTCGGTCTGCTCCTGATTGGAGCTGCGGGCGGGGACTGGGTGCCGGGCGGGTTCCGAGGGGAACCCGGGGTTTCCTGGGCTTCCCAACCCGTCGCTGCCGTGCCCAGGGCGGGGGAGCCCCGTCTGTGCGTCTGTCTGCGCCTGTGTCTTCGCGCGCAGCCGTGAGGCGTCTGGGTCGGTCTGCCGCGCGTGTCCCCGGCGCCGGAGCTGTGGCAGAACCGCCGCTGGGAACTCTTGCTTTCTCTCTCTTTTCTCTTCTAAAACAAGCAAAACAAAAAGACTTTCAAACCTGTTTGGGGAGAGATCGGATACCCAACGGACTCGCCCCCTCCTCCCTCCCCTACTGTTATCTGAGCCGCCCTGTGGTTTGGGGAGAATCAGTCCGGGGGCCCACCCCCACCAGAGGCAGCCGGCTGGGGGGGCGGGGCCCGCTCAGCTGGTGTACCCCGTGGAGTGAGAGGAGCCGTCAGAATTGGGTATGGGAGCTGGGGCAATCGGGGAAGGGATGTCTCCGGGTCTGGTGCTACCACGGGGTTGTGGAAGCTTTTGGGGGTGAGAGGAGGATGGAATAGGCTGGTCGTCTTTGCTTTGCTGAGGGTGTCTGGGACCTGGTGCCACCCACGAGGCGGGGAAGCTGCTAGCCAGATGTGTATGTGGGAGGGGGACGCTGGAAAATCAGCTTGGCTATGCCCCCTCTTCTCGCTGGGCACTGCCCTATTGTCAGGCTCTTCCGTGAGAAGGGGGACAGGCCCCCAGAGTGCTAGGCTGGGGATGTGACCGACTCATATGGAAATCAGACCAAAAACAGCCCCTGCCCCAGCCTTGAAGACGCTCCTTTACCGTCTATTCGATCTTGGATACTGTGCCCAATGTGCTGGTGTGGAGGGCTGCCCTCACCTCCACCTGGTGTGAGCTCCCTCTTCTGTAACTAGATTGCCTTCTGCCTGCGGGATGTGTGTGTGTGTGTGTGTGTGTGTGTGTGTGTGTGTGTGTGTGTGTGTGTTCTCCAAGGGCCTTGTTCCTAAGAACACTTCCCCACTCATCCACCCCCAGCTGCAAACCCCAACCCTCACTTCTGCTGCTGACCACCACCCCCTCTTCCAGTTTCCTGGCTAGGAGATTCGGGGATGTCTCTTGTCCCCTTCCCTGGCTGCAGTGGTCATAGGGCAAGGTTGTTCTGGGGAAGTGGTTCAGTAAGAACACCAGGTCTTGCTAGGAAACGGGCTCAAGCTCCAAACTCTTCCAGGGCCTTGTGCTTGATGGGGAGGGCCGGGGAAGCCCCAGGTTGAAGTGGGGGTGGCTTGGAGCATTGGGGCTTCCCCTGTGGGGGGTGGAGATGAGTCTGGGGGAGGGAACAAGAGAAAGAGTATTTGGAGTTGGAAAGAAGGGGGTGGTGGTTGTGGAGTCAGGGAGTTTGTAGCTGTGAAAGATTTTGGTGCACTGGGAGGGGCTAGAACATGAGTTCTGCCTGGGAATCTGGGCCATGTGGGTCCTGAGACAGTGTGGTCACCAAGGTTAGACTTGAGTAGGCCCCTTGGGAGCTGAGGATCTTGGATTCAGCTCAATTCAGGATCATCAGGGGTTTTTGAAGGTGTGAGTGAGCATGCATGAAGTGGTCATGGTAGGAGTTTCCCTACCAGACTGGTGAGGACAGTGCAGAGGTATTGGCAGTGTGAGAAGACCCTGGGCTTGGAATGGCTTAATCCTGGCCACCTCCTCCTATAGCCCCTAAATCTCTGTCCTTCAGTTTTACCCTGAATGTCCCTACTACCACTCTGGGACACCTCTCTGGTCCCCCTCCTACTCCCAACCATGTGGCAGCCTGGCAGGAAGCTAGCTGTGGGCAGCACCATCCTGATCACCCCCTTGCCTCCCCCGCTGGGCACAGTCACCCACATGTGCCGTGACGTGGTTCCTGCCACCCTGTCTAGTGTGGGGGAGAGGATGTTGTCTGAGTGGCCTTTCAGGTCTGTTTGGGGGATATTGACCCAGACCCCAGTTAGTTTTCCTTCCCTTAAATCATTTGGTCTTGGAAGTTGGCTGTGCTGTCTGGGACCTTTCTCCCCAGGCCACTGTTGTTCACACTCTAGGGCAGCGGTTCTCAACCTTCCTAATGTTGCGACCCCTTAATACAGTTCCTCATGTTGTGGTGACCCCCAACCATAAAATTATTTTCGTTGCTATTCTATAACTGTAATATTGCTACTGTTATGAATCGTAATGTAAGTATCTTTTTGTTTTCCGGTGGTCTTAGGCAACCCCTGTGAACCGCTACTCTAGGGTCTTAGGTGGGGTGGTCCTCGTAGCTGTGTGACATGAGACTGGGGCCTACCCCCAAAACATAAACCTCAGTGCCCAGTTCCCTGTCCTCTGGGCAACATGAGCAGGGTAGGACCTAGGCTGGGCTGGAGGAATGGGCCTCTGTGGGATCTATTTGTGAGTACTGTCTGGGGTCTGGGATGAGGGGCATCTGGGGAAGGTAATCCTATCCCCATGACAAATAAACGGGGTTATGTCCACTTGCCCAGCAGCCCACACCCCTTTCTGGTGGTGGTGGTTTTGGGAGTGTGGGAAGTTGGCAGGGCCCCTGGCAAGATGACCAGAGTTGTCTTGACTTACTGGGTTTTGGGAAAGGAGTGTGGCAATTGATACCCCAGCTCCCAGGGCTTTGGCTGTACATCCTCTCTGCTGCCTGCTGTCTTTCCTCCCTCCATTCCCCTCTCCACCCTCTGGCTGCTGTCTGGAGCCCACACGGTTTGTGGGGGAATGTGGGATGGGGGCAAGGGCCTGGATCTCTGTGTGTGTCCAGGGAGTGTTCTGGGGATTGGCAGAATTGGCTGAGGGTGTGTGGGTGTCCCCGCAGGGTGGGTGGTGTATGGAGACCAGGCCCCGAGTGTGAGAATGTGTCAGCATCGGTGTGTCTGTCCCCAGTCTGGCTCTGGTGTGGGTGTCTCTTGCTCTGTCTGGATCTTGCCTCCCGCTCCAGTCCCCCCCCCCCCCCCCCAGCTGGGACCGCCTGCTTGCTCTCCCTCTCTTTGCAACTGGAGCCTCCCTTGCCTGTTCCTGGAATTTGGAGAGGAGGAGGAGGAAGAGGCAGGCAGACAGACCTCCCACACTCTAGCCCGCCCGCCTGGCATCATGGGGAAATGAAATAGGCGCTGTGGAACTAAGGTTTCCTTGGCTTCCCCAGGCTCTCAAACACACATCACAGAGTTGAGGGAGGCAGGTCTTACCGAAGGAGCATAGGCTGCCCCCAACCCACCACCTGGCAGCGATGCCTCCTTTCACCCAGAATCCTGCCCCCCAGGGCCCCTGCTGGGACCTCCAGGAACCACTGTTAGTCTGGGGGTGGGTGGGGGGATTAGGCTGCTGCCAGCCTGGCCAACACCTGTTGCCAACCCCCAGCCCTGTAACTGGAGCTGGCCTGGGAGGGGGCTGCAAAATGACAGGTGGAATTTCTGCATTTCCCGCCCCCCCATATGCTTTTCCCTTCCCAGAACAAGGAAAGCCTGACCCGCAAGTGTCAACCTAATCTCATGGATGATGTTCCTATCCTGCCTGTGGGGGCAGGGCCTGGGAGATGGGCAAGGGGATGAGTTTATTGCTATTTGCCCAATGACCCCCAACCCCTGCACTGCCTGCAGAGCTGAGCTGCCCTTGTTCAAGTTTTCTGAGCTCTGCTGCTCTGCCAGGGCTGGGAGGTGAGGTGTGTGTGTGTGTGTGTGTGTGTGTGTGTGTGTGTGTGTGTGTATGGATGGGGGTGGTTCTCTGTTAATGTTTTAATTGCATAAAAACTGGGAGCTCAGCTCCGGGCCAGTGGGGAGTCTGGGTCTGGCTGGCCGCCCGGTTTGGGCTAAATATAGTCTGGGACATCTGCAGAGAAGGGGAGGGGGGTAGAGGGAGGTTCCATTCCCCCCACCTCTGGCCAAGGTGCCCTCGTCTGGGCGGGCACCTTGGAGCAGGGAGGGGGATTCCTCAGCACAAAAGGCAGGGGAGAGGTGGCTGGGCACAGTTGGGACCTTGCCTGCCTGGAGGCCAGTAGATGCCTGAGATGAACCCGGAGGCTCAGGACAGTACCAGAGTGAGACCCGTGGGGCTGGATCCAATGGCTCTGCTCCCCTCCCCCCAGAGCTACCTGAGGTCAGGCAGTCTCTGTGTGTCACTGTGCCCAGCTGTGTGTCACCGTGACCCACTCATTGTATGCCTGTGTATACACACCTACCTTGGAGTGGCTCCCTCTTGGCCCCTCCCCTGGAGCCTCTGTTCCCTGGGTCCTACTGCAGGTCCCAGCCCTCCGTCCTTCTGTCCCTTGCCCCACAGTGAAACCTTCAGCCCAGGAATCGAGACTTGAGAAGGGGAAGCTGCGGTGGGGAGTTCTCTGATCTTCAGTCACGGCAGGAAGTGGAGGGGAGGAGGACGAGGGGGGAACCGTGAGTGGCAGGCAAGGAGGGAGGGCCTGTCAGCCCTTTGACCAACCTTACACACTGCAGTGGGGGGTGGCCACCTTCCCAGTCACCCCCCTTCCCTCTATCTCCAAGTGGGGGAAAATTAGGGGACAGCTGATTTCCCAGGGGCTGCTAACAATCTTTGCCCCCCCCCACACTGAAAAAAATGTCTTCCTGTCACGTGGCTATCACTTCCTGTCCCACTGTGGTTCCCGGGATGTTTGTTGTTGGTTGCTATGGAGATGGCCGCCGTGGGCACTACCCTGGTTCTTGTGGGGAACGAGATGCCCCACCCCCTAGGCCCACAGTTGGGGAGGAGGAATTGGGGGGCCTGCCTAGGGGGCCGTTTCAGGCTGAGTGTGTGTGGTCTCTGATGCCCCAGATCCCCCAGGGCCCCCAGACTTCTGTCTGTGGGAAGGAGTCACAGCCACCTACTCAGACGAGTGTTGGGGAGACTGTGACCGCATCTGGCTGTGCTTGACTGTGGCTGACTGTGCG